TTCAACTAATTCCTTCTCTATGTCCCTTTGGGAGCTACTAAATTCAATTGCTACTCAGGGAAGGAGGGAAGGGGGATAGGGAGTGAAAGGGAGGGATGGAGGGGGAGGAAAGGGGAAGGAAGAAAAGATTTAACTGACAAAAATATTAAAGATAACATTATTGGAACATTAAATGGCAGGTGAAAATAGAAAATTTGAGATAGAAAATAATTATGGCTTCATGATTCACTGTCAAAATCTTCAGTCTAGATGTATCCTCAACATATTACTGTGAAACCAATAGATGCCCTTCTACCCCACGTGTCTATGCCATTGCTCAGTATCTCGTTTCCTCTTATTTCCCATCGTTTCTTCCCTTCTGCCACGTAAACATTTTAAAAATGCACATTTCACCTCTAAATATTCAAATAACTGAAAGCCATCAAAGTCCATTGTCCACCCTGTGTGTAATAAGAGACAACCACCGGAGTTAGAAATGAAAGTTGAAAAAACAACTTCGGCTTTCCTGTGAAATCCAGAAGAAATAAAATTTAGGGAATGGGAAGGCAAAAGAGCAAAGTGCTATGTTTTGAGCATCAGATAAAAAAAAAAAAWTTATTTTTTWAAATGTTTATCTGATAACTAAAAAGTTGCATAAAATGTGATGTTTTGATTGTATACATATATTATGGGGAATGATTGAATCAAGCTGATCAACATGTGATGAGAACATATAAAATCTACTGGTAGCACTTTTCAAGTATATAATACTCACCATGCCAGACATACAACAGATYTCCCAAATTTTATTCATACCAACTAATTGAACTTTGTCCTTTTTTAACAACATCTCCCCTTCCACAATCCCCAATCACTGGTAACCTCCCTTGTATTCTTTGATTCTGTGAGTTCAACTCTTTCAAATTCCACATATAAGTCAGATCATGCAGTATTTATCTTTCTGTGTCTGGCTTCTGACACTTAGTACAATGTCCTAGGCATATGCACATTGTCATGAATGACAGGATCTCTGTTTTTAAAAGACTGAATAGCAAATATTCCAGTGTGCATATACACTACACTTACTTTATATATTTATATATTCATCCACTGATGGGCCTTTAGGTTGATTCCATGCCCAGGCTACTGTGAATGTTCAAAAAAACTATCCCACAGTGTAACAAGCTTCACAACATGCACATGATGGAAAACCTATACCTCCCAGTTCCTAAGTATCAACCCCTGATGAGATTGGACTGAAGAGTCCCCAGGCTAACATCAAAGAATCTAAATGAATTGCTCTGAGCAGTACCAACAACTCCTGGTCCTAACCTTTCAAACCTTGTGCTCTCCAAATAGAAAAGACACAAGGCAGCAAGGAGACCTAGCAACCCTTCTTTTTCCCTAGGATTTTGAGTTACTTCAGATCATTTATGAATGGTCTGAATAGAGATATGCTCTGTTACCGTTCCAGGATTATCTCAGGGTCTCAAAAGGATAAGAACTAGTTTTTTTTCCTCAGATTCTTCAAGATTCCAGGACCAGTCCAGGTACCTCCATTGTTGTAACATCAAAGGAGAGGGAAAGGCTTAGGAGAAAGACTAATGGCAAGGTAAGGAAAATATAGGGTTAACCAAGGTTCATTTTCAGATAAATGTCACAGATGATGCTGGTCAAAGAATAGAGAATAGGTATACAAAGAAAGCAGAATGCTAAAAAGGGACATTGAGTATAAGTCTTGTCTAGTGGCACTAATCTCACTTGTCCCTAAGAACTGAATGCAACCTTAAGTCCAAATACTGCAAGAAGGAATGGGGGGTCCCATTCCAGCCCACTTGGAGCTAAGTGATGAACAAAGTATTAAAAATAAAATAGCTGACATATAGCATAACTACATGCTAAGACTCTAAAGGCTTTATACAAATTTTTATACATATATAAATTTAACTAATTATTAAATAAATAAGGTGGGAAACTAATAAAACCTCTCATTTCACAGATGAGAAGAGAGGGAGAGAGGATTTAAATAAACTTGCCTACAGTCCTCAGCTATTAAGGGAGAGCCGAGTCAGGATAATTCTCAAGCCCATAATCTCTTTCATACTATGTTGTCTCTCTTGAAATTCAGCCTCCAATTCAGAGGTGGCCTATATTTTACATTCTCATCCCTCTGTAGTCATGTCTTTAATAGTTTTACTATTTCCAAGAGTCTCAGGAATGTTTTATTAAATCTATGCAGAACCTCCCTTTTCTCCTCCTCCTTGCCCCAATGATGCTTGAAGGTGAACCATGTCCAACTGCTGAGATGGGTCAGGAAGGGACTCTGAGTGATCACACTGGGCTCTGCCACCCAATCTTGCTGCAGGCTCTGCTGGATTGGGGCTTCCCTGAGACCTCCACAACTTGGAGGCAGATAGACAGAGGCTCCTATGGTCACAACAGAATGTTTATGGTGGCAGGAGGCAAGAGATGGAAAAGAATGACTTACATAAAAAAGGTGTCTTCCACCTCCATATCAAAGGCCCTCGCCAATGTCACCTCTTCCCAGCCTTCTGCTTTGAGGAATATCAATGACATTCTGTCACTGATTTTCTTTTGGTATCCAACTTAATTTCACTTTGGATTGTAGACAGAACTTATTCTTAAAGCAACTTAGGGAGAAAAGTTCTTTTTTGCCAAAGCCCTCAAATATGTTCAAGTTATTTATGTCAACAACAGAAAACGCAGTAGCTTGTAACCTGTAAAACAGGCTCCATGTGTCATCTCTCTTTTTCAATGTAGTAAGGCAAAACTTAACTAAATTCTCCAAATTAAAGGTTTAAGGCAAATTTTCCATTTCTCATACATTTAAATATGTTATGGCCCATATAATTAACTATTTCTATTAAGACAAAACAATAGTGTTTATGCTTTTATGTTAATTTGGAATAACTATCCATTTTAAGGGAGAAAGTCTCCCCCCCCCCCACCATGTTTCTTAGTAGTCTATGGTCTCTGAGAACAGGTATCCTTGTAGTTCCCAGCACTTCTCCAAGTTCCACACCACCTGGGGAACACTATGGACCTTCAACAAATGTTCCTAATTATGTTAACACACAGAACAAGCTTTAAGCCCAAATGTTACTTCTGGCCCAAAGAAATCTGAACAGGCATAAATCCAAATGCAACCTTTGATCCAAAGAAATCTAAAAGCAATAAGGTCATTAAGTAACAATAACAACCTCCATTTAATCAATGGAAACAAGCATTTTCTGATATTGAATCTAGTAGTAGTTATCTATTTTTATGAAGAAATGTAGTAAAAGTCATCCTCCTTCTCATTTAAAATACCTGAATTCATGCATGCCTATAATTTTGTAGGTTAGGAAAGGTGTGCAGGAAGAGWAAGGTTACTCAGAAACCTGGAAGATGACACCAAATGTCTGTGTTTCTCTATGTGTATGCAGCTATTTGGCATGTAAACATACTGTCCCAAATTCAAACAAATTTCATCCAATAATTCATCTCAGCAGCCAATTCAGAGACAACCCACCCAAAGGGGAAGGGGGAAGGGAAGTGGAAGAGAAAGGGAAAAAAGGACAAAAAAAAAAGAGCAAGAAAGAAAGAAACAATAGAAATAAAGAGAAAGGAAGAACAGAGGGAGGACAAGGGAAATAAATCACATTCCACATAGTGAAACAAAACAAAAAATGGTTTAAAGGAAACATTTTCTTGACTGAATTCACAGTAAAAAAACATTCCTACTACAAGGCAAAAATCCTCATCTTGAGTGGGTAAATGGCAGAGGTTTGCTCCTGAAAGGGAATCAATACTTCATTTGACAATTTCCCCACCAAATGCCACTATCATTTCCAATGTCACTAGGCTGTCATGCTCCCACAGTAAAGTAKAGTACATATCTTTACCCTGGGGTTTAAAAACAATCTCAATTGTACAACACCACATCTTTGGGCAAAAACTTGGCAGGACAAATCACAGGACATATGTTTACCCAAGGTGAACAGTAGCCACAGAACTGTACATTAACTACACTTGGCTTTGGACAGCACCAAACATGCTCTAAAGCTACCGGATAATTTATCTACAGTCAGCAGGTTACCCTAAGTCTACCACTAAAATCTAAAAGCTTTCCTGTCAATTTTCATTTCTGACATAAGTTGATAAAAGCCTCACAAATCCTCTATCTCATAGAGACTCCATTACTTTCCTTGCTAATACACTAGAATGAAAAAAGACCTGTTAACACTGTGTAACTTCATAGCCTATTTATCACATCACAATTCTGCACCTTTTATTTTCCAAGCCCATTTGAAAGTTGTGTGTACTGTTTTAAAAAGGCTAGAATCAGACATCTATAAAAACCACATGCTCAACATTCACATCTTACCTACAACTTTTAAAATATTCATATTCATTATCAATCACTATTATGTATTTGATCAAACGTACAYCTTATTTATAATGCTGAAGAATGCATGAATTTTAAAGTTGATTGTGTTTTCTCCTTTAAAGCAATYTATGAAAAACTTGCTGATTGTTAGCAATAATAAAGCCGATTACAAATAATTTCGGCATTCTACAATTATCAAAATTTAATTTAATCTATTTCCAGAGACAACCTGAGTGGCTCTGAGACTACAGGCTGAACACTRTCAGAACTGCTTGCATTATTATCTTATAAGAGCTTTTCTGTTTCCATAGTGAACATGCCTTCCTGACCTTTAAGTTCTGAAAGCATGCTTACAAATAAATCAAACTGTCCACTAACTTTTTGTATTACCAACTATTCCAAATCTACTTATTATTTTAGTATATGATTAAAATGTGGATCTTTAGGATTATCCATTTAAGAGTACTCTATAGCCTGAAGCATGAAGGCCAAGGCCCAATAGAAACATCACCAATAAAATCAAAAGCATAAAGCAAAATTCTTAAGTGATCCTTAGCCTGTTTTGGAACAGAAAATAAGCAGTAAATATAAACATAAGCATAATCTAAAAACAAAACAGTCCCATACTTACTTTTAGTAGATCCTTGGAGAATTCAACACCTTCATTTATCCCTTGGAGGTTTGTAATGAACTCTTGGCATGTCATCTTCTTTCCAATATTCTGGAATAGAGGCAAATAATATATCATGACATTTATGGAATTAAAATTAATGCKTAAGTAATTAAAAAGCAATTGATTTGGTTTTCAAAAACAAATACATATACATACTAATATGTGTATATATACATATAATACAGTTTTAATACGCAAGGAAAAATATGACCTATTATGCTTCTAAAACTGTCATTAAGCATGTCAAAGAAAATTATGTCAAGCCCTCATTTTAACTCAGGAAAAAAAAAACCTTCAAGAACCTATACTACACTCATAATAATGTAGGTTTTAATTTAAAAATGTAGAAAAAAATGAGATTTCTGAGCTAAATTCCGATAGTTACTTGTATTTCCAAATATTGTMAAAAACTGTGAAGGATCTGAGATCCTCACTTTCTAGCTAACAGGTTAGCCTGTCATGGATGCTGGCAGGGGAAATGACTCCTGGGTGAGACACAATATTTATATTTGTAATAGGAGTAGCCAGAATATTAGCATTTTCTTGATCTGGTTCCCTGAGCCCTAATTCTCGAGCAACTTGAACAGAGTCAAATGCTATCTGCACATGCAAAAGACCTCATTATAAAAGACAAACCCGAAGCTCCAGGAACTGAAATATTTGATAATGGACAATAAGTATGGTACCCCTTCACTCTAGATGGAGGCACCAGCTCTATCTTTCAAGACGGTAAGCCAACCTGACCACTGCTCTGAAATTATTATATCCTTATAAGTTACTCACTAAAGAAACAATCTTGAAAAAATAAAGAACCAGAGTAAGCAAATCATCTGTCCATAAGATGTTCCAAAAAGTGAGTGACCCATAGAGAATTGTGCCCCAGCATACTTCCAACTTKACTTAAAGATAATAGAGTTTAATGAAAGAAAACCATATTCATGAACAAAATATAGTTAGAAAATCTAAACTACAAAGACAAGACAAACATGGTGACAAGGAAAACTAATAAAACTGGTGTCACAGAGCTTTATTTCCTAAGCTAATTAAGCCAAATCAACCAGTAGTAGCTGCCAGTCATGAAGGACACATTAGTTCAACCTGGACAGCAAGAGAAATGTGTCACATGCAGGAGAGGGATGTACAAGAGGCATAGGCACAGCATCTCTAGCAAAATGTGGTCCACATTAACAAAATCTCTAACACATTCACATCCCTGTATAGCATATCCTCACAAACTGGTTTACTTTCCAAGGCTATTTTATTCATTCATAAATGATGAAGAGTAGGGCAGAATTTTTTTTWAAAAAAAGGGAGGGGGGTGCTGGGGGATGTAACTCATTGGTAAAGTGTCCCTACATTCAAACCCCAGCACACAAACATCCAACTTCAACAACCACCCAGGCAGCATATTCTTGAAGATAAAGACTTTAAAAGAGATGTGCTCAAGAGGGGCTGCCTTGAAAGGGAAACCTTCCCTTTAACAGCTGCCTTTCTCCCAACTCTTAGAACTCCTCAGCCCAACCAAGCTTTCTAAACACTGTGTGAAAAGTGCTAAGACTTTTGTGTTGTTAAAAAACGTGCCTCTTGATGTAGGCTCCCTATTTACCTCTCTTATTGTTTCTCTTGCTGAGAAAATTAACTTTTTAGTTTAAGTAAGTCCCATTTGTTGATTCTTGTTATTAACTCTTGTGCTATGGGTGTCCTATTAAGGAATTTGGAGCCAGACCCCACAGTATGTAGATCGGAGCCAACTTTTTCTTCTATCAGACACAGAGTCTCTGATTTGATTTCAAGCTCCTTGATCCATTTTGAGTTAACTTTTGTGCATGGCGAGAGAAGGGGATTCAGTTTCATTTTGTTGCATATGGATTTTCAGTTTTCCCAGCACCATTTGTTGAAGATGCTATCCTTCCTCCATTGCATGCTTTTAGCCCCTTTATCAAATATAAGATAGTTGTAATTTTGTGGATTAGTCTCTGTGTCCTCTCTGTACCATTGGTCCACCCGCCTGTTTTGGTACCAGTACCATGCTGTTTTTGTTACTATTGCTCTGTAGTATAGTTTAAAATCTGGTATCGCCATCTTGGGAACAAATTTATACTCCTCACACTTCAGATAGAGCCCTAATATCCAGAGTATACAAAGAACTCAAAAAATTAAGCAATAAGATAACAAATAACCCAATCAACAAATGGCCAAGGACCTGAGCAGACACTTCTCAGAGGAGGACATACAATCAATCAACATGTACATGAAAAAATGCTCACCATCTCTAGCAGTCAGAGAAATGCAAATCAAAACCACCCTAAGATACCATCTCACTCCAGTAAGATTGGCAGCCATTATGAAGTCAAACAACAACAAGTGCTGGCGAGGATGTGGGGAAAAGGGTACACTTGTACATTGCTGGTGGGACTGCAAATTGGTGTGGCCAATTTGGAAAGCAGTATGGAGATTCCTGGGAAAGCTGGGAATGGAACCACCATTTGATCTAGCTATTTCCCTTCTTGGACTATTCCCTGAAGACCTTAGAAGAGCGTACTACAGGTATACTGCTACATCGATGTTCACAGCAGCACAATTCACAATAGCTAGACTGTGGAACCAACCTAGATGCCCTTCAATAGATGAATGGATAAAAAAAATGTGGCATTTATACACAATGGAGTATTACTCTGCACTAAAAAATGACAAAATCATGGCATTTGCAGGGAAATGGATGGCACTAGAGCAGATTATGCTAAGTGAAGCTAGCCAATCCCTAAAAAACAAATGCCAAATGTCATCTTTGATATAAGGAGAGCGACTAAGAACAGAATAGGGAGGAAGAGCATGAGAAGATGATCACCATTAAACAGGGTCGAGAGGTGGGAGGGAAAGAGAGAGAGAAGGGAAATTGCATGGTAAAGGAAGGAGACCCTCATTGTTATACAAAATTACATATAAGAGGAACTGAGGGGAAAGGGGAAAACATCAAGAGAGAGAAATGAATTACAGTAGATGGGGTAGAGAGAGAAGATGGGAGGAGAAGGGAGGGGAGGGTGGATAGTAGAAATAGGAAGGGCAGCAGAATACAACAGACACTAGTATGGCAGTATGTAAAAAAGTAGATGTAGAACCGAAGTGAATCTGCAATATGTATACGGGGTAAAAATGGGAGTTCATAATCTGCTTGAATCAAATGTATGAAATATGATATGTCAAGAGCTTTGTAATGTTTTGAACAATTAATAATAAAAAAAAWTTTWAAAAAYATGCCTCTTCCATCAGCAAGGAAGGTAAAGACTTCATTTGAAAAGATGGAATGAATGATTTGAGATGGAGATCTGGTTTTGCCAAAGAACTAATTTGGTAGAGATTTCCATAAATTAAATCTACAGTTCCAAAGTTTTGATGAGTATTTAAATCTCAGAAACTTTAATGAAAAAAAAATGTTGTRCAATGATATATTGGGAAAAAAACCAAACTCAATTTTTTTGATCCTTTTAAAATGTATTAGGTCAACCAAAATGCCTCAAGGTAAAAAGTAATAAGTATAATCAAGTCATTTTGATATGACTTGGAAAGGCCTTTTTGGATATAATCCAAGGATTTGAGAAGATGAATGAACAATCACTAGGCAGCAAATTCTTTTCCAATGCTTTGCTTGTAACAAAATTAAAAAAGAACCTCCCTTAATCATCTGTTAATCACCCAAAATATTTTAATGTGATTTAAGAAATTCAAATACTAATAACATTATCTAGTTTTTAACCAAGTGTGCATTAATAACAATTATTAAATACAAATTATTCTAGAAAAATGTTTTTAATTCTTGAAATTGTATTTAAAAAACCTTTGTTTCCATTTATTGCAAATGTGAATTGAATAATGATCATAAAAGACTTCAAACATAAAAGCAGAATACACAAGAGTGCACATTTAGATAAAAGCAGACTGAGAATACAAATATAAGGAGAAAAAGAATGCGCTAAAATACTGATTCCTCAGATGGATTTCTGGGGGAAAAAAAATCCTTCCTGGAAAGGGTTCATCATGCCAGTTGCCATTAAGAACATTTGTGATTCACAGAAGCAGGTCAAAATCTCAACACTAACGGGAGTTGGAAGAGGTTGATCACAGCCCCCATGAAGGTGCCTGAGAAGTTGAGGACGTCAGTAGAGGGGAAAATGACAGAGGTGTTTGTACAACAGAGAACTGGAGTTAGAAGTTAAGATGGGCCTGGATCGCTCTAGTCTTAGGRAAAATGTTTAAAAGGAGTTTCTTCTTAGGCAAATATGTCCACTTCATCTAGCTTATGGATGAGCAAAGAAAATGGTTTCTTGAGATGGAATCTACTTCCCATGAAGATGTTGTAAACACTGCTGAGATAAAAGATTTAGAATATTATATAAAGCCAGCTGATAAAGAAACAGCAGGGTTTGAGAGGACTAGGTCCAATTCTGAAAGGTCAGATGCTACAGAGAGGAAGAGTGAATCAGTGCGACAAACTTCATTGTTCTTACATTGTCACAGCCATCTCGTCCTTCAGCAACCACCACCCTAACCAGCCAGCAGCTATCAACAGGAGGCAAACCTTTCCACCAGCAAAAGGAGTTTGACCTGCTGATGGCTCAAACAGCCATTAGCCTTTTCAGTGTTCTTAAAAACACTAAGCAAAGCATCTATGATTTTATTAATAAAATCTGATATATAATGCTATTACATACTTGCAGTATAAACAGAACTTTCGTATGCATGGGAAACAAAAAAATCTGACTCAATTTACTGCCACACTAGCTCTATTATGGTGGTCTGGAACCAAATGATCTCTGAATTATGCCCATATATAATCCTTTTATAGAYTGGACTATGTTTGCTTTTTAATTTTTACACAGAATATTCGTGTTTTCTCATGATCATCTGTCTGGTTTTGGTATTAGAGTAATACTGTCCTCACAGAATGATTTGGGAAATGTTCCCTTTACACTTTCTGAAGAGTTTGTAAAGAACTGAAGGTAAAACCTCTTTAAATGTGTGGTATAGTACACAAGTGAAGCCATCTGATC